CTTGTTTTGGGAACTTAGCTGCTGACTTTTGTCCATAGGGGCCTGAAAGGACAGGGTGAGGAGCAGACCTGTGCCCTAAGCAGCAGGGTCATCAAATGTGGGGTCTGTGAAGCCCCAGAGGCCTTTGTGATCCTCGAGTGGCTCACGCCATATGCAAAATCCCAGGGCGTGAGTGATCCAGGAAGGGCAGGGCCAGTAGATCTCCGATTTCCTACAGGGTTTCTGTCCCCCTGTTCATGAATGACTAATAGCATCATCATGACTGGAGAAACACCCTTGACTGAGTGCTGACCAGGCGCGCAGGAGAACGGGGGCAATGAGGTCGCCCACCACAGAGAGCTGCTGGGAGGGTATCTGTGAAGCGCTTAGGAGCCTGGCGCACTGCACTCTCATGGGCCTTAGAGTTTATTTCCACTGTTATTACTGTCATCTGTTATTATCACTTTCACGGCCTCATTAGTCCTCACAAAAACTTTATGAGGTCTGTATTATTATCAAGCCCACTTTAAAGAACAGGAAATAGAGGCTTCAAATAACTAGCTCAAGGCCACAGACAGCAGAGAAGGAATCGGAAGGTGGCCTATCTGGTTCCCAAACCCAGGCAGGCCCTAGGTCTAGAAGGGCTGAGGGAAGAGGGCAGGACTCCCCGAGGGCCCAGGAGGAGGTGAGCGCGCAAGGCTGGACTGGGAGGCCCCAGATGACCCCAGGCCAGAGCCAAAGGGGAAAACAGGCCGGGACTTTCCGCTGAAAGGGCCTGAGAGGACCCGAAGCTTTGCTAACTTTGCACCTCTCTGAATCAACAACACAAAGCCAAACTACTTAAAATAATAATGATGAAAACAGAAAGTCACCCCCTGTGGCGTCCCCTCCTGGGCTCCAAAGTGAGGCAGAGTCTTGGAGTAGACTGGGTTCAAGGCGCGAGGCTCTGGCAGACCCAGCGCCAGCTGGCTGCGCTCCAAGCAATGTTTCTCCTTCCAAACACACACAGAACTCCGCTCAGCACACCACTTGAAAGCCAAAAAGATGCCCCAAGGGTTGCCATGGCAATGCTAAACAGACAAAACATTTCAACCAGCTCTGACGCACAGACACAAACCTATTTAAGGGCCAAATGGATGGATTGAGGGGTGGGGTGGTGGGGGGGACTGTTGTTTCTACAGCTCCATCTCCGAGGATTTGGCCCCCAAAGCATCTAGGTCAGACTGAAAGAGAGCAAAGGACTCCTTCAACACAAGCTGAGGCTGGGCTCGCTCAGGCAAGGGAAGCCACCATCATGCTCCCTGCATCTCGCTTGCAGACGCAGCCCTATTTTAGGGGGGCTATGACAGCGACAGGAGATACCGATGGCCCTGGCTCTGCCTGTCTCTGAGGACAGCCCTCTGCTCCCAGCACCAGGGTCTCTACAAAGAAGTGGGAAGTGATATGCTTTCCTGTGAATGTGAAAGGTCTCAAAGCACTACACGGATGCGTGTGAGTGCTGATATTAACCACCATTCCCCACACCCCACGGTTGAACTTCCATCCACAGGGGTTGATTACCATGGGTATTTTCCTTTAGAAAACTTCACTCCAGGTCAGATGGAGCTTTTCCCTGAAACACTGCCACCTGTGGAGTTACGATGACCACAGAAGATTTGGTCCAGGCCTGAAAAGACCTCCTTGTCTGGGGGTCTGTCTTAGTTTGGGCTCTTGCAGGCCCCATCCGTCACCTCGGACACAACAGGACAAAGGGCTGACCTTGGTAGAAGCCCAGAAGAGTCTCACCAGACAGAGCTGATGGCACGTGGTAGCATCCCTGAGCAAATGCTGCAAAGCCTGCCTCTGCAGGGCCCATGACACCCTCGGGTGAACAGCCAGAAAAAGGAACCCTCTTCCACTCCCTATTCCCCATGGTGAACCCTCTCACCTTTCAAGACTCACCCCTGGGCAGTCATTCCTAAAGCCCCCCTTGTCCTGGGGTGGAACGGTCCCCCCATGTGCCATGCATAGATGTTTACAGGAACAGCTGCACTATTCTAGTGTTCAAATTTTTCTCTGGTCTCCTGCACACTCATCACTGAGCTCCCTGAGGGCAGGGAACCCATCTCCTTCACCTGGGTACTCAGGAGGCCTAGCCCAGTGCCTGGCATTGGTGGGCACTTTGTGAGCCTCGGCTGATTGATGGGCTAAAAGCACGCAGTGTCACACCCACAATGTTTATGCACCAAGGCCCCCTGGCATTCTCTAGACCATAGGCCACAGCTGTGCGCTTTCACTTCCACATTCTCTGGGGAGACAGCAGAACTTGAAGCCGAGCCTGGAGGGCAGGAGTTCAAGAGTGGAGCGCCGGGTAGCCTGGTGGGGTCAGGACGAAGGGAATATGGAGAAGAGGAGGAGGCGGCCCACCTGCAAAATCGAAGCTCTCGTGCCGGCCCATCGATTAGTTAATAATTTGCCCCTTGAAAACTGAAGGAGATGGCAACCCACTCCAGTATTCTTGCTTGGAAAATCCCATGGACAGAGGAGCCTGGTAGGCTACAGTCCATGCAGTTGCAAAGAGTCAGACATGACTGATCGACTTCACTTTCACTTTGAAAACTGAAATAGCACCCATTCCCCCTGCTCTGAAGCAAACCTGTTTCTGTCTCCGTTATTTAAGGCCCCTGAAGACGCTCTGCTCTCTTAGGGTGGGAGAACATTAGCTCCACGAAGTCACAGCTACCTTCCCGGCAGGTACGCTCCCCAAACCTCCCCTCACGTGTCATCTTCCTTTTGTCAACACGAGGCTCTCCATATGCAGTGCTTTCTAGTCTCCTCCAAATAGGCAACACCTAGCCAACAACAAATCTTTATCACCGACTGCCCTAACTGGGAGCTTGGCCTTCTAGGAATCTAGAAATGGTGGCTCATCCACTCTGCTATATCCCCCAGTGATGCTTCCCACGAGCAGGATGCACGCGCCCACACGGGTGTACACACAGCGTCCTGCCGGCAGGAACAATACCCGTGCTTGTGTGTAAGCAACGCGGGCCGTGTGCCCAAAGCGAGTGCTGCCTGGGGGATCTGTCACTGTCTGTGATGTAGGTGAAAGGACAGGGTCCCCGTAGCCCTTAATCCTCATCTTCCTCACTTCCCACAAGACGGAGGGACTGTGGCAGCGGTACTGACGGTTCCCTGGACTCGCATCCTGTCTGCTGAACTATCCTCTGCCACTTTCACCACCAGACTTGGTCTGCTGCCCCACCTCTAAGTGGGAACTAATTATCATAGACACTTTTAGAATTTCATATTCCAGTGTTCTAAAAAAAAAAAACAAAACCGACAGTCCATGAAAAAAAAAAAAATACCAAGACTTCCATAGCTGAAAGAGTTATAGAGAAACCACAAAACTGTTGGTGCCATGTGGCATTGATACACATTTACTAAGTTGGAACAGAAGAATCCGAGGTGGCGGGCATTACCTCTTAAGCTTCAAAGTAGACTTTAACAACAAACATCTCAAATAGAAGGGACAGAAAATACAGATGTACCAAACACAAGAAAAGGTTCACTACGTTCACCTGTCAGGTCTACATCTGCATTTTAATGGACTGGAACAAAGGCATCCATTTCTATCCCAGAAGGAAATACTACATCTCTTTCATGTAATGCAATGACTGCATATGTAAAATGCCTGCACTAAAATTAAGTCTTCTATCTTCCAAATTTTCTCAATTATTAATACACCAGACAGCTGCAGTAGCTCTAGCAAAAATAGCAGCCAAGCTTTCCCACAAGACAAAACAGCCATGAGATGTCTGCACGGGGACTTTCCTACGTGAGGACTGGCTGCTCTCTGGGCCAAACAAGAAGAAACACAGTCTCCAGTGGAACAACAGAAAAAGAGAAACTTGTTTTAGAATTTAACATGAAAAATGACAGCCCTTCCCTCCACCCCCGCCAGGGACAATCACTCCTCTTTATAACAAGAAACTCTGTGTGTGAGAAAAAAAGAAAGGTTGACTGGAAAGGCTATCAGTCCACTCATTGGGATAACAATTCAGAAAATTAAACAGTAAACCCAAGGAATGCCAATCACTTCAGTGTATTCTGGAATGAAACTATCCAATCGTGCCCACTCAACGGGAGCAGGGTGAGGTTAGAAAAACAAATTATGTCTTTTTTTGTTTGTTTTTAAGATTCCTGGAAGGAAATCAAGATCCAGAAGAAAAAAAAAAACTGTCCTTCAGTTGCCACCTTCATATTTTAAACAAGTATCACAGTGTCATCTTCAAAGACTTTTGTGAATAGTTTTTTTTTTTGTGGAAATACATTTGAAAAGCACTGCAAAGGGAAAAACTTGAGTACTCAGAGTATCACCATTCAACGGTCTCTGAATTCAACAGTGATCATGAATTTTAAGTCAAAGATTTATGTGTAGAACATGAAACAAGAATAAAATAGATTTCAAAAGATTTTTTAAAGCTATAATATCAGAGCGTAAGCATATCACACCAGAGGGAATGTCACTTGTCATGGTCACGTTGTTCTTGGTCTGGATGCGATCAAACATTTCACATTGCCTGTCACAGTTCTGATTTCACATCATTCTAACCTTTAAAGGCAATCAGAACACACGCCCCAGTTTCTGGGTCGTATGATACCATCACTCCGTCTGTGCCCCAGCACCACACACTAACAGAAATGGTTGTAGGTCCTTGAGGAAAAAGCAAAGAGTCCTAGTGGCCCAAGTTCTAAACAAGGATATGTTTGCACCAGTTCTGCATAACTTGTTTCTAAAAGCAAGGACCGTATTTCATTTTCCTTGTCTCATGACCTACGTAAAAATCACAGTTATTTGTCAGTAAACGCCAACAAATGTCAGAGAGGCAAACCATGGCTATTTGGAAATGGCTGTTAGTTTATTAATATAATCCCCCAGAGTAAAGCTCATGGTGTGAAAGTTTTCAAGACAGGCACTATCATTTAGAGGCGGGGCTTACTAAGCTAACACAGACACTCACTGCTCACGTATCACTTACCATTTGCGATCTGTTCTTTGGACAGCCATTGATGTCTTCGATCTTCTCATTTGCTGAAAAAAAAAAACACGGGTCAGAAAAACAAATAATCATCACAGACACCGCAAGCAGTGATGTTCAGGACCCTTGAGGCCAAGCAAATCCTAAGGCCCATTCTGGGGTTTGTTCAACCAGCATAGGCATGTGAAATACTGAGACGCTTCGAGCAATCTTCAGGACTTAACTCATCGAGCTGCTGTCCTCCAGGGACAGCTGGGGCAAGGTCGCCGTCATCTAAGGCAGAGACAACTGCACTGGCGACAGTCGTGGAGTGATGGGGCAGGGTGGAAATGTTTGCACACTGGGAAATGGGCTGAGCTGTGACTGTGCTCTAGGCTCTGAAAAGGCAACCACAACTTCCCCACAAAAGATGGGGTGCTTCAGAGTGAGATCCATGTAGCCACAGTGCAGTTCCTGGGGACAAAAGCCACAGATAGTAGCATCTCACTCCATTTTTAGCCAGAAATATTAAGGTTGCTTTTGCCTGTCCCGATACTATTCCCAAAGTGGATCTTATTCCCATTGGGATCCTATTCCCAATGGAAAAACAAGAGAGTGAGACTTTAAAAATGACACACCCGTGCCATTTAGTGAGTCCAGATTAAATCTGGAACATACTCTATTGAAGTCAAAAGAGCGCCAACCTACTTAGAGAAGTGATAGAAACAGACTGAACCGCATAAGCTGGAAATCAAATAAAAACAAGGAAGAAAGGCCCAGCTGCCCATGGTGAATGTATTTCATCCTCAGTCTAAAGGAACCCTTGTAAGATATAGCCTAGGGCATCTGAGTTTGCAACTGCAGTGCTACAATAAAAGCAGTAGGTATAGTGGCTTGGAGGCAAAGATACCCCAGTTTGAAGCCCAACTCTACACTTCTGAGCTGTGTGATCTTAGCCATGTAACACAACCTCTCTGTTGCATTGCCTCACCTATAAAATTGAGTTGGCTCATCTGCAAAATTGAGCTAATACTACATACTTCACAGGAGGAGCTGTGAAAAGAAGATTATATTATGTCAGTAAAAGGCTTAGTGCAGTACCTAGCACACAGTGAGAATTCTATGTATGGTTGTTGTCTAGTTGCTCAGTTGTGTCTGACTCTTTGCGACCCCATGGACTGCTGCCCACCAGGCTCCTCTTTGTCCATGGCATTTCTCAGGCAAGAATACTGGAGTGGATTGCCATTTCCTTCTCCAGGGCATCTTCCCAACCCAGGGATCGAACCCAGGTCTCCTGCATTGAGAGTTGAATTCTTTACCTCTGAGCCACCTGGGAAGCCCTCTTTGTGTGGTAGCAATCATTAATCCAATTATACATATTCTTTATCATCTATGTAAAAATATATAAAATAAAAATTTCCTTTTTGATCTCTCCGAGTTTAACCCAGAAACCTAGCTAGGACTTCACAGTAAAGGACTACAGATTCACCTTCTCTGAAGACTTTTTAAGATTTCTTCCCAATCCCACATCCCCTTACACGTCACCACTCTCGAAAGATAAGGCCGACTAGGTCTCTCTGGTCTCCCAGCACTTTGGAAACTGCCTCTGTATTGCTTTTAGCCACCTAATGTGTAACTCCTTTTCTAGCCTCCCCCAGCTAGGCAGACAGGTAGATTTTGTTTTTCACACTTGTATCCTTACAGCTCAGTAAGTGCTTACAAAATTATATATATATATCACATCCGATTTTAATGACTGTAACATCTAAAACTTCTATGAAAAGACATTAAAAAAAGACTCTGAAAAGGATAACAGAAACAGTTTCCCATGACACTAAGGTTTTAGAACACCTGTACTTAAATATAGTTCACTGTTACCTCCATTGGGTTTATTTTTTCCTCCAGCATTTCTACCTTGAGAGAGAAGTGAAAAATAAGAAAGCAAGCTAGTGGAAGGACATTATTTAAAAATCTAACTACCAGAGACAGGCTGGTTAGTATACACTCAGCCTCACCTACCCCTTCTTTAGAATTTGCTCAGAGTAATAGACATTCAGGCCTATGACCCATCTGGGAAGACTTCGGTCTTCCAGGAGCCACCTGAGTTTTCTCAACTCTTAAGAACACTGGGATAGGCATTTTAGGAAGCTTTTTCTACCTGCTTTTCCCTACTCCCCAAAGAGGTGCCATAAAGCCTTTAAAAAGCACATAAAAGATGCCCAATGAATGGAATGATTCACAGGTATTTGTTATTCAGTTCACCAGAAAATACAATTAGCCAGAAGGTATCACTAGCATGTAAGTCCCACAAAACCAAGGACTTTCATCTGCTTTGTTTTCTACTATAACCCCAGAGCCTAATGCAATGCCTGACACATAGTAGCCACTCAACATGTATTTGTTGAGGGGAACTAAGGACTGTTCTTATTATTTCAATGAATCAAAGTTTTACTGCCTATTCTGAGGCAGCTGCCCTTTCACTTGTGTATATATAAATGTATGTCCTGAAGGTGGAAAAAAAAAGAAAGATCCTTGACACCTGGCACTCCTTCATACATTGGAAATTATGGCAGGCTAGCACTCTGACCTTGGATTTTGATCCAATACTGGAAGAATAAATATGGCTTTTGAGAAACAAGGCCACTCCCGGTATCTTCCAATTGGATACTTGTGATGGTCAAAGTCATAAGTCATTGGGTTCTGATCAATACCCAGCTCATTGATGCTCATTAAAGTGAAGGATGGATAACTGTAATCCTGAGAAGTCATTTTAAAGACCATTTATATACCTTCTGGATAAATGAAACCAAGGGATTGAGTCTAATTATCCCTGTAGTTCCTTTTCATGGTCTGTCACTTAAACCACAGTCAGCTATTCATTGAGTTCACTGGGCTCCTATCAGGCTAGAGCTGCCCTTTTATAATATTCAAAATAAATCAGTGGGGTGGAGCCTATTTATAACCCCCTAAAGAAGACATGGGAAGAGATCAAATGACTCAACCTAAACTCAAAACAAATGCTTAATAAAAATGCAAAAAAGTTTGGACCTCCTAGTTACCAATTTCATGTAATATAAATACTTCTCCTTTAACTTAAATTCTCAAGAATTTCTGTGAAAGTGCAAGTGTGGAAGTTGCTCAGTCAAGTCCGAATCTTTTCGACCCCGTGGACTATACAGTCCGTGGAAGTCTCCAGGCCAGAATACTAGACTGGGTAGCTCTTCCCCTCCCCAAGGGATCGTCCCAACCCAGGGATGGAGCCCAGCTCTCTGGCATTGCAGGTAGATTCTTTACCAGCTGAGCCACCAGAGATGCCCATCAAGAATTTCTGTGGTTGTCATAAATACTTAAAGCAATAACAGAAGCTCTCATTCTGCTGGTAAGAAGAGCTTGGTCTTCAGAGCTGAACTTACTAACTTGGGGTACGAGGTCTTTGGCTATAGCCCCAAAATAGAAAACCAAAGAAGCAAAGCCATGTCCCGTAAAGTCCTCATTAAAATCATTAAAACTGGCATCCTGAAGTGCCAGTGGTATTCATTCCAGCAAACTCTAACGTGCGGACCTATCTGCACGCAAGGTGACAAGTTAGTCATTGGAAAGCATCAATGCACTTTAAGAAGTATTGAATCAAGCTTGTCACTTCTCAACAGGCCTCCTGGGAAGAGTTCAGAGCATTTCAAAAGCCCAAGCATCTATGCTTGGCACCTATGTATGTGCGGTACAGTTGGCCATCCTGCCAATGTCCAGAAAGAGAAACTGCCTGCCCTCACTGAAAGGCATATGACTTACCCAAGGTCATGCCATGGTAGCAGGTCGTCAAAGGAAAATAGAGTCCCACGGGTTGTATGAATTTCCTGGTTGTGCTCAGAGGCAGCCCAAACAGTGGGAGAGAATGAGCTGCTATCAGCCCTCGTCACCCCCAATCTCTTCCTCTCGGTCTTGGCTTCCTCCTCCTCTCCAAGCCTCTCTTGTTTACCCTCTTTCCCGCCCCCTCTCTCTCCTCTGTCCTCTCTTCCTGCCTCCCCCTCTCTTCTTCGCTCACTCCAACCCCTTCTGGCATCCTCCCTGAGCGACAGCAATGTAAGCAGAGGAGGGGGAGGCCTGTCTCTCCCTCTTGATTCACGCTGTTGATCCTGGCCTCGTAAACCTTTCTAATAACTCACGGACATGGCACCGTTGATGGGCTGGCAGGCAACTGCCGGCTTTGGGCAGCTCAGGACTCAAGAAGATAATCATACTAATAAGAGGCTGAACACAGACACTCAAGCCTCAGTCACCAGAGCAAGGGCACCAAGAGGCAGCAGAACAAGGTTCATGTTCTGCCCACTGGGCAGACGGCAGTGATGCAAGAGCGTGGGCCCCAAGTTATCCCACTATCTGGGAAGACCGTGGATGGATAAACAGAAGGCTAGAGCCTAGGACCTATCTGGGCTCGAAGAAGACTTAGTGAGGAGTAGCATCTTGGAAGAGCATTTAGGGTTTTCCTTCACATAAAACATCTTAGCTTTCAAAGGATTCCAACTCTCCATCATTAGAACTAGCCGCGAAGATGGTTAGATTCCCCAACCTGAAAGTCAAGTCTTCAACCACTGGCTTTGTTCCTGGGTTAGCCCTGTACCTTGCCTTATTTGCCTTGTTGTCTCTGGCTCTCTACCCTTCAGCATCTCTGCACACTATTCCCTCTACCAGGAAAGCCCTCCCTGACCACTTCACCCAGCTAACTCCCAGTCTGAGGTCTCGGTTTACAGATAAATTCCTTGAGGAAATGTTCCTTGATTCCTTCCTTGCTAACCCAGCGTCTCCTTTCCCAATCATGGGTCAGGCCTCACAGCACATGAGCCCTTTATCATTATGCACAATCTTCCTCCTTCCCAGATCTAGGAAGTGGTTGTGACTTAAAAGGACAATCTCTCTGCCTGCAAGTTTTGATGGACCTTCATTTAGATGAGTTCTTTCCAACTGTTTTAAAATAAATTTGAACCTTCAGAAAAGTTACAGGGACAGTACAGAGAATTTCCACACATCATCCATTCTCATCTTCTCCCTTCCTTTCTCACACCCTCTTTCTATCGGTAGACATTATTTTTCCTGAATTATTTTAGTGTAGGCTCAGTTGTGTCTGACTCCTTTGCAACCCTGTGGGCTGGAGCTCACCAGGCCCCTCTGTCCATGGAATTTTCCAGGCAAGAAATCTGGAGTGGGTTGCCATTTCCTATTCCAGGAGATCTTCCCAGGGACCAAACCCACATCCATTGTGTCTCCTGCATCAGCAGGCATTCTTTAACATCTAAGTCATCTGGGAAGCCCTGGCAGCTCAGATAGAAAAGAATCTGCCTGCAATGCAGAAGACCCCGGTTTGATCCCTGGGTTGATCCCCTGGAGAAGGGATCTTCTCCAAGATCCCCTGGAGAAGGGAATGACCACCCACTCCAGTTTTCTTGCCTGGAGAATTCCATGGACAGAGGAGCCTGGCGGGTTACATTGGAGGTCATTTTTCAGTGGCAATTTCCCCTGGAGCCTGGGGCCGTAGGGAGGGCCCCACACTCACGGGGAAAGGCAGAACAACATCCACACATCTGTCCCATCCCCTTTGCTCCGTAGGAGAGCTCTCGTCCAAGGGGTTGCAGAGAGTCGCACACAACCGAAGTGACTGACACACACACCTGGGAAGCCCTAGTGTAGGCTCCATGGGTCATATCACTTCTTTTTGGTGTGTACTTCCAAAGGACAAGGATATTATTTCGTGGTACAATGTTAAATTTCAGAAAATCCAACATTGCTTTAATTCCAATATTCCAACTTAAGTCAATTGACTCAAAAATGTCCTTTATAGTGTTTTATTCCCCTGAATGGGATCCAGTCCAGCATCATGAAGCGCATTGAGCTGTCAGGTCTCTTTAGTGTCCTTTCTTCTTAAACAATTTCCCAGCCATATTTTTTTGTCTTTCACAGGACTGACATTTTGGAACAATTTTTTTTTTTTTCAATAGAATGTCCCATAATTTGCATTTATCTGAGAGTCCTCGTGATGAGTTTCAGACTTTCCAACCCCTGAGTGCAATACAACATGAAGTGATGTTGCATTCTTTTCAAGGTACCCTATCAGGAAGCACATGACATCCAGCTGCTTCTCATAGTTTGATCACCTGGTCATGACACCTGATTCTCCCATGGGGTAACTATGTTTCCCTTTGCAATGAATACACCATCAGTGAAGAGCCACTTTGAGACTATGTACATAGCTGCTCTCCATCCAACGTTCTCCCCTAGATTTCAGCATCCATTGATGACTCTTGCCTTAACTAATGTTCACCATCACAGCTGCAACTCCTTCTGCATTCATCAGTCAGCAGTCTCCTGTTCAGCTGAGTCCTCTCTTCTCTTCCATTGATATATCATCTATTCATTTATCTATCAGCATATAGATTTGTATACTCCTATTTTATTCCATGGGTATAATTCACAATGGTCCTCAGTTATATTGATGTTCCAGTTGTCTCAGATCAGACTGCTCCTTATAGCCCTGAAGTGTAGAACTAGTACTTGCAAGGAGATACTACCATCAAGGGGCAGATTTTGACTTCATGAAAGAAGAGCTTTTAAAAGATTCTAACTCTCCATCATGAGAACTAGCTGTGGAGGTAGTTAGTTGCCCATCCTAAGAAGCATTTAATAGAGTCTGCTGACTACTTTTCCTAGAAGCATTCATACATCAGGTTGAGGCTTTTATTTATTTATTTTTTTCCATTTATTTTTATTAGTTGGAGGCTAATTACTTTACAACATTGCAGTGGTTTTTGTCATACATTGAAATGAATTAGCCATGGAGTTACATGTATTCCCCATCCTGGTCCCCCCTCCCACCTCCCTCTCCACCCGATCCCTCTGGGTCTTCCCAGTGCACCAGGCCCGAGCACTTGCCTCATGCATCCAACCTGGGCTGGTGATCTGTTTCACCCTAGATAATATACATGTTTCGATGCTGTTCTCTTGAAACATCCCATTCTCGCCTTCTCCCACAGAGTCCACAAGTCTGTTCTATACATCTGAGTCTCTTTTTCTGTTTTGCATATAGGGTGATCGTTACCATCTTTCTAAATTCCATATATATGTGTTAGTATACTGTAATGGTCTTTATCTTAGGTTGAGGCTTTTAAAAGGTCATTTCCAAACCTTAGAGTTGCAGCGCCATCCTGGAAAGGAGGAGGGTGACATACAGTTGAGAGGAATACTCAGGAGAATACTACACGCTGAGAAGGGGAGACATTCAGGCCACCTGTAGGAAACAATCCAACGCAGGCTTAGGGAAGCGACGGCTGCAGTGAGAAACACTCTCATTCCTAAACTAATCAACTCAACTTCTTGTGAATATCACCGCACACCAGACACCACGTTCAGTGCTGTGAACCCAGAAAGGAAGATGACTCAGAGCCAGACCTATGGAGGGCCAGGCCCAAGACAGCAGTCAGTGGGATAACAGAGGAGGGTCCCCTCCAGCTCTATCTGGCAGGGAGCTAGGAAGGGGATCAGAGGGAAACTGACTTTTCAAGAATGAGTAGGAGGTCTTCAGCCAAAGAGCAATGTAACTAACCACTGGACTTCTGTTCAGCACAAGATGGAGTCTCGAGGAATCCAATTCTGGGAATTGGTGGTACTAACTTGAGCCTTTGAAATCACAGACTAGTAGCTCAGGCTCAGAGAGGTCACCATCTTGGGAGTTCATCTCATCAGAATAGATTAAGGGAAGCATCCTCCTGAGCAATGATAAAAACTGTGCTAGCTTATATTTCCATAGCACTATGCTTAGTAAGTTTGCTATACATATTCACCAACTCTGGGACCCAACAGACATAACTAATCTATCATGACACACTCTGACATTGATTCTAAGGCCTCTTCATCTTTCTACACATATCCTTCGAGGCAGTGGCTACCAAGTATTATCCAGAAACACTCCAGAGTATCCAAGCTCATTTCACATCTGATGCCTACTGTACACTTCACAAGATTGCCACAAGATCAGACAAAGCAGGCATGAAAGTGAAAGTCGCTCAGTCATGTCTGACTCTTTGCAACCTCATGGACTATACAGTCCATGGAATTCTCCATGCCAGAATACTGGAGTGGGTAGCCTTTCCCTTCTCCAGGGGGATCTTTCCAACCCAGGGATCGAGCCCAGGTCTCCCACAATGCAGGCGGATTCTTTACCAGCTGAGCCACAAAGGAAGCCCAAGAATACTAGAGCAGGTAGCCTATCCCTTCTCCAGTGGATCTTCCTGACCCAGGAATCGAACTGGGGTCTCCTGCATTGCAGGCAGATTCTTTACCAACTGAGCTACCAGGGAAGCCCCAAAGCAAGTATGGTGTGCCTATTTTATTTCACTTGTTTTAATTGCTTTTTTAAAATCATTTTCCCCCTTTGGCTGCACCATGATCTTAGTTCCCCCACCAAGGATTGCACCCATGCTCCCTGCAGTGGAATCACAGAGCCCTAAGCACTGGACCACAAGGGAATTCCGTGTGCCCATTTTAAAGACAGGGAAACAGATAGCAGAGTCCATGTTCAGAGACGCATGTCTCAAAGAACTGAGAGCATCTTCTAGGAGATGGGGGTGGCCTCAACAGTCTGAGCAAGCTTGACCCCCCTACCCAGTCAACTCCAGATGAGAACTGCACCCTGGCCAGCACCTTGACTCTGGCCTTGCAGTCACCCAGGTAAGTAAGCTGTGTGTGCACCCCGATGCACAGAAATTGTGAGGTAGTGAAGAGACTTTCTTTTACGTCATTACATTTGTGACAGTCTGTTATATAGCAACAGCAAACTAACACAGGAAAGAGAGAAAAAGAAGGACCAATGGAAGCTGGTCTTCAGCCAATCTTAGGACAGCAAGGAAGCATCTTTCTCTCTAAATGGCACTCTGAAAGTTTCACCTTAGGCCAACTTGCCTGTATTTTTAGGTACGATCTCCACAGACGTGAGCAGAGCTACAACTAGACACAGCTGCCTCTCATACTTGAAGGATAAGCAACTTTTCCATAACAACACGCCTGAGGGGCTGGGGCTTCTGTCCTTTTTCTTCTTTCTTCTCCCTTGGCATGAGTTGGCTGCTGAGGCTGCCAGCGACAACAATCAGCCTAATGCCATCTAATTGACCTCCCGCCTCCACGGTTGGCTCCAAGTTCTCAGGCAGGACCACTGGGGTGCTTCCCCGAAGACCCAAGGCAAAGCTGTGCACAGCCTCTGCCCACGTGCCTGCCCAGAATAACTCCTCTTCTCCTCCAGCACACGGCCAAGGCATTAAAAATCCCGCTGCCCCAGTACCCTGCCCCCAGTATTAAAACCAGAACCAGCCCTCTGCAGAGACTGAGCCTTTGATTTCTCAGACCCAATTAAAGTTCGCAAGGAAGAACCAGCCTCATATTGCCTTTTCTCTTTTTGGACATCTTTCCAGAATAATCCACAAAAAAGCACATCATCGGGGTGGGGGCAATGAGAGAGCCAGAAAGATGATAGGAAGGAAGAAGGGGGACAGAGAGCCCCTCCATAAACCACAAGCATTTCCCCCCAGCCATGGCCAGTCTTTCTTCCTGGAGAAATCAAGAGATTGCCCTGTAGGTGATCTTATCAGGTAAAACGAGCTGGTACCCAGCCTCCTCTGGCACAAAAGAGTCAAATAAACTGTCAGCACACAGGACACAAACACTGCCTTTTTAGATGATGTCAGGGTTCCATCCCCACTCACCAGACTCAACCCCTGGTGGACTGGTCTCCACAGTAACTCATCCACCCATCCCCCTCCACCCCACCCCCCTGAGGTCAAATCTGCTCTTACCTACAACCTGGATAATCTGGGCCAGGAGGACGCCATCCGTCACATCTTGCTGGAGATCCTTAATGAGACGCTTGTGGCCCGATTTGGCTAGATAGTGATTGGCCCAGTCCGTGTAGATCTGCAAGAAAGCACATGGGCAACTTTAGGAACCCCGTCAGATCCCATCTCAGCGTTCCGAGCAGCTGCGGGGCCAGCATAGGAGCCACGGTCCCGCCGGCGAGCTGTCTGGGGCCAGCCCTCCCCATTAACATGCAGTGCATTATGCCCGTGGGGCATTCAGCTGGCCAGAGCCGGGCTTTCACCTATTGAGAGATCTGCCGTCAAAGGCTCAGGAGAAAGCTAAAGAAAGCCTCAAAACATGCAGAGGTCTGAATGGGACAGGGGACACGGAACTAAACAGTCTGCACCAGACGGCTGTGAGAGGCTGAGGCTCTAAATGCAGGCGCGGTCTCCCCCGCCCCACTGCCCGACCCAGCCCCGGCCCATCTTTTTCTCTTTATTGAGAAAACGGATGGGGAGGTTACCACCCATCAGGCAATCTTTTCATGGGCCATTTCAGGGAAAGGAGTTCTCAGGAGCTTGGGTCCCTTGTAAGGGAGCCAAGTACCAAAACACAGAGCCCTTCAATTACTCTTGTGTGAGTGGAGTTATTAATGGCCTCACAATCATCTCAAATTTAATCAGCTTAATTTAAAAGCCCAGCATCATTTTCACTGTTGGGATTCTGTGAACAGCAACAACAACAACAAAAATAAAAACCCCAGCAAATTCCAACACATTTAAGCACAGCGTTGGTGAGCATAGCACCTGAAAGGCACAGGCTGGGCTGCCATGGGATCAGGAAAGCAGACCCTTCTGGGGGACACACAGACCCGCCCCACCCCCCCCCACCCCAGTCACAGAGCCACGGGCACAAAGAGTATTTTCTTCCAACAGGCTGACAAACCAGGAAGACTCTCGCCTGAAAACTGTCTCCCACAATGACACAAGCTGAAAACAAAATTGAAAACCTTCTCATCAGTTCTGTGTGCTAAGTTTCCTATGAGGACTTATGAATTTGTTGGGGAACATAAAGGTGTCTATCAGAACCTTTTTGTCCCCCCCAGAAGGGATATGAACATATGGCTGCTCAGAAAGAGAAGTGTCCCATCTCGGCTGGGCCACGTCAGCGGCTGCAGCTCATGTACTAACCCACAGGAGGTTTCCACCGAAACGATGAAGCCCATCACCATAGCTCCATCAGCCAGCCTGCTCTGAGATCTTGTGTGACTCACAGCGGAAGCCCCACCCCTGCCCCAGCCCTCCCTCCATCCTCTTCTTCCCCACACCGTGCTCATCAGAGGAGTCTCACACCATGGGGTGCTGCCCTTCAAAACTCCCAAAATGTGGGTTCAAGGGCCAGGGCCTGGACTTGCAAAGCAGGGCCCTTCCAGGGAGGGGCACCTCTGACCACTCCAACAGGGACCAGTGAAGGCCCCATCTCAAGAGTGGACAAGGCGGACGTGCCCTTTCTACTTCATCAAGAGCTGAAAACAGAAAACTCCTGTCCATTACTTTCTTCCCTCAAGACTCCCAAGTTGTCAGATCAAAAATTTAGTATAGCAAGATCATTTTTCAATTTCAGAAAGCCCTGAGAAATCTAAGGAAGTGGAGCACCATCTTGGTCTCCACAATGGCCAGCCTGAAAGGTCAATGATCACTGGATGAAACGTTAAGAGGGAGGGAGGGAAGGGGAACAACATTTAAAAGAAAAGAAAGACCAGGATTCAAGTCCCAACTCTGGAGGCTCCCCAGGGTGGGGGTTTGGGGTTGTTTTGTTCAATGATGTAGCCCAAGGACCTACAACAGCACGAGGCACCTTAGAACTTCCCGATGTACAGGTGTGGAGGAGTGGGTGTCTGACCTCAGCTGAGCACCTTAACTCTCTGAGCCGAGGTTTTCCTATCTGCAATATGCAATCAATACTGTGTACTTGTCAGTTCTTATGAGTGATACAACATATTTTTTTTAAATAGTGGCTTATACAGAGTAGGAGCTGAGTAACAACTAACACAGACCCTAATACATGCCCCACGCTAGTACAAACACTCAACACATATTAACTCACTGCATCCTCATTCTGTGTGGTAGATGCTAGTACTGTGTCCATGCTTCAGAAGAGAAATTTGAAGTGCGGGGAGGTAAAGGAACTTGTCCAAGGTCACCAGGAAGTGGCAGAGCCCAGAATTTGAATCCAGGCTGACTGGCTCTAGAATCCCTTAGATGCGCTCAACACTGCTTCTCTGAATGAGTATAAATTATTCAAATCACTCACCCCCTCCATGACACCGTCCTACTGAGGAGACTCATTCCTCGATTCAGTTATGTTCACACTGAAAGAATTGTTTACATATAGAAAAAAGCTCCAAATCGGCCCCTTGCTGTCACTTGACTTTCCTGGGCTTCAGTTTATCCAGCTGTAAATGGGCACAGCCAGGCCTACTTCAGAAGGTGGTTGTGAAGAACTCAGTGAAGTGCCATCTGGAAGGCCCTGGCCTGACCCACATGGGGCTCGGGAAGCAGAGGCAGTGGTGGTCATGAGGAGGGCTTTGGCATGAGCAGGCAGCTTTATTATTTTTTTTTTTTCCCATTTATTTTTATTAGTTGGAGGCTAATTACTTTACAACATTGCAGTGGTTTTTGTCATACATTGAAATGAATTAGCCATGGATTTACATGTTTTCCCCGTCCCGGTCCCCCCTCCCACCTCCCTCTCCACCCGATCCCTCTGGGTCTTCCCAGTGCACCAGGCCCGAGCACTTGTCTCATGCATCCAACCTGGGCTGGTGATCTGTTTCACCCTAGATAATATACATGTTTTGATGCTGTTCTCTTGAAACATCCCACCCTCGCCTTCTCCCACAGAGTCCACAAGTCTGTTCTATACATCTCTTTTTCTGTTTTGCATATAGGGTTATCGTTACCATCTTTCTAAATTCCATATATATGTGTTAGTATACTGTAATGGTCTTTATCCTTCTGGCTTACTTCGCTCTGTATAATGGGCTCCAGTTTCATCCATCTCATTAGAACTGATTCAAATGAATTCTTTTTAATGGCTGAGTAATATTCCACGGTGTATATGTACCACAGCTTCCTCATCCATTCGTCTGCTGATGGGCATCTAGGTTGCTTCCATGTCCTAGCTATTATAAACAGTGCTGCGATGAACATTGGGGTGCACGTGTCTCTTTCAGATCTGGTTTCCTCGGTGTGTATGCCCAGAAGTGGGATTGCTGGGTCATATGGCAGTTCTATTTCCAGCTTTAAAAATATGGAACCCTTCATGAATTTGTGTGTCATCCTTGCGCACGGGCCATGCTAATCTTCTCTGTATCGTTCCAATTTTAGTATATGTGCTGCCGAAGCGAGCACAAGCAGGCAGCTTTAAACATTAGCTGCCAGGCTGCCTAGTATACCTGTGACCTTTGGCCTGGGTGTGCTCATGAGGGAAATAATAATACCTACCCATCATCAGGTGATTATGAGGGTGAAACAAGTTCATATACATAAAGAACACAGAATCTGAGACTTGCTAAGTGTCCAATAAATAAAAGGAATAATGAGAAAGGTGACTCCCAGCATTATAAAATGGGCCAGAAGAAAACCAGCCACAGCCTCTACCTGGAACCTCCAGGACACAAATGACTCAAGGACACACTCCCCTTCTCTTTCGTCACAAGGTACAATTTCAACAGTCTGGAGCACTCCCTCTGCAATCACAAACCAGGGTAGATGGGAAAAGACAAGCAGGCCAGAAACCGGCCAGGCTGGAATGGAGAGCAAGGCATCCACCCCCAAGCAGGAAATACACCCCTAGGGATGTCTCAAGCCCTGGAGGGATCCTACCAGCTGAGGGTCTGCGGGACCAAGCTGCTGCTGCTAAGTCGCTTCAGTCATGTCCGACTCTGTGCGACCCAACAGATGGCAGCCCACCAGGCTCCTCCGTCCCTGGGATTCTCCAGGCACGAACACTGAGGTGGGTTGCCAGAAACCAAGAGAACATCCCAAAGCTTAAAGCTGTCTGCCCCACAACCACCAGCTGAGGTGAAGACAGGCCATGGGCAAGAACACCGCTGAGTGGGAAGCAACTCAAGTTCCTCTGCTTATTCCCTTCTTAGGTGATAAAGGGTATTTTAAAATAGACATACTCTGTCTAAAGCCAGCCCTCCATGTGTCAGCGCAAATCAGCAGGAAACCAAGGTTAAGCAAGCTTCTTTCATCAAGTCCAGGGGTACCTACACACACAGTGTGGAGTCCTGGTGAGGCCACGCAGGTATCTGGTATACCAGGGAGAACTTAATTTTACAGTGGTCAGCAATGGCTCTGCCAGAGAGGTGACCCTCTCTACTCGAAGCTGTGTAAAACAAGAGCTCTTCTTTTCCCAATTTGAATCTACCTACACACCACTGCCAACTTCACGTTCCAACAGCACACCTCTAATCCTGTCACCTGCTCCAAAAATCATCAATGGCTCCCCACTGAACTAAAGACAGACTTTTCACACTGCGACTCAGGGCAAGTCTTCACACCCACCCACTCTTCCCCAGCTGGTGTCCGACCTTGCAGGGGAGGCGGTGCTTGTGAAAGTTAAGAGCATGGGCTTGGGCACTGGCCAAGTCAAGCTGGCCCTTGGCAAGTGAATTTCTATTCACCTCTCTGTACCTCAGTTTTATCCTCCATAAAATGGGGATCATACCAAATATACAATAAGGCCAGGGACTGGCCTTTCTATTCACCTCTCTGTACCTCAGTTTTATCCTCCATAAAATGGGGATCATACCAAATATACAATAAGGCCAGGGACTGGCCTTTCTATTCACCTCTCTGTACCTCAGTTTTATCCTCCATAAAATGGGGATCATACCAAATATACAATAAGGCCAGGGACTGGCCAACTGTACACAGGCCAAACCCAATGGGCCACCTGCTTCTGTAAACAAAACTCTGTGGGAACCCAGCCACATCCATTTGCCATCTGTAGCTGCTTTCATACCACAATGGCACAGCTGAATAATTGTGATACAGACTTTTGGCCCACAAATCTTCAAATATTTACTGTCCGGTTCTTTACAGAAA